AAGGATGTCGCGCATGTTTGCGAGCAGTGAAAAATGCTTGACATCAACCAGATTCGAGTTTTGGTGCAAAAATTCCGACGTACTGCCGTCAACGATTCAGCAGCGGCGTACTGTTATATGTAATAGTTCATTTATTCCAATTACTCTGCCTCCTCTATTAAACACGTTGGTCTTACATTATATTGTCTGAGGCTACCTTGATTTCTTCTCTCAGTTCTTGATTTGTTCGATTTTTCACCTTTTGTGGACGTTGTGATTTTCTTACGATCCGGGACTGCATAAACTTCCTCAAGTAGTGGGCGTGCCTGTACTGTAACTCGTTTTGGTCACACCGCCGAAATCCCGCCTCGTGGCCATTCACTGATCATGGCCGAAGATTGCTTTTCAAATTTCTCGGAAACTGCTTATGGAAATTCGCTTACTCCTAGTTGCTCGAAACATTCAATTCTGCTAAATGAATTCGGGGTTTTTGTTTGTTTCTTTTCGCGTTTTTCCTCTGCTTTTCGTTCATCCTTATTAGCGATACTGTTCTTCTGTATATGAATCCTCATTCCTATTGCTGTTGTACAAAGTGAACATAAAAGGTTTACAGCGGCTTAACGAAATGAACAAAAACTGAAACGTAATCAGTTGTGTCTAATTGCGATGTTCAAAGAACCACCTTAAAGAAACTCTTGTAACGTAGGCTTCGTTAAGCGTTTTATTAAGTCAATAAGAAGTCGATCAGGATAGAACCATTTTCTTTTACCAAATCTCTAGACATTTCTGTTCTATTCATTTCAATCACTTGCGGTCATACAGGGGGACCAAAAAAAAAGGGTCACTTCCCTCCACTTCCAAAACGGAATCAATTACAAACTGCGAAACCAAACCAAATGAGCCCAACTGCATGTTAAAGAGCACGTTCTAGTCTATCAAAAGGTTACGTGACACCCTTCTACGAAGACATCAGAAAATTTTTTCCACGGAAACACGATTCACGGTACGAGCTCAACGAGGTCGTCGAGGTACCATAGACCATTACGACGTCCCTGAAACGCTGGTCAAAAGCGGTCTAGCATATACACAGCTAGTGTCTCTAGGAAGCTATTCACCATTGACCGATTGAAGAAATGACGTTGCAGCTTCAGGCCGAAGCGACTACGATAAGCCTTGCCGAGCTCGATGACGACGGCAGACGACGTCGTATTCTGAAGACCGCGAGGGCAGTGAAGGAGGGTTTGCTTCTGCTTATGGAGAGACACCTAAGTAATTATGCCTTAAAAATTCATTAGCAGGGACATCCTGTGCGACGAAAAATTCGAAGATGTGCGCCATGAGCAAAGTGACTCTTTCCCCCCCCCCCCTCTGTACACTTATTTATTCCTGATGAAGTTGGGTGAGGTATTGTCATTACCCGCAATTTAGGAGTCCTTTGTGGACACGTCTTTTTTCGGTTGCCGTTCCTCGTTGTTTCAACCACTTCACGGGAAGAAAGCTTGTCCACTTTAGGCTTAGATTTCGCTGTCCAATGCTGTTCGATTGTCTCCGATTCGTTATGTTGCATGATGTTAGCCGACGGTTTTTCCTCATGCTCCATTTTCGTCGCTGATGCAATGGTTCTTTTTCCTTTTTTGTTCATAAACTACTCAAAGCTGAGCACTTTTTTCTGCAGTGAGAATGTCTTCCAATCCCATAGATACTTACCGCTTTTCCAAAAAACCACTTGAAACTTTGCCATCATCAACTTTTTGAGAAGTTTGCCAAAGTTTTCTTGTTCCAGACATGAGCCGAGATTATTCGATTTTCTTAATCTCAAGTTTTGCTATTGCCTATTGCGGAGAGCCACCGAATATTTATCGATGGATAGCCGATAATGCTTATATCTGTAAGTTGTCTCGAGTTGATCATTCTCACCATTTATGAATGGAATTATAAATATTGCGTTGGTTTCTGCGCGATAACGTTTTGACTCACTGCCGCTGTCCCTATCAACACACAGAGAGAGACTTAAGCGGTTCCCTTTACCTACTCTTCCTGGTTTGGAATGGATAAGACTGCAATTGGCTGACTGCAAAGTTTTGATGGTGGTGATTGACATTGACATTGACGTCACTGGTGAATTAGAGCACTCAGAGTGCTGGGTGTGGCTAGGACCGCCTTCTAAAACCTTTACACCAATGACGTCCAACGATGTCATCAAAACCACCCTGTTCTCCAGATTCGTCATGCTGCCTTCTACAACTACTAACCACAAGCGAGTGCATGGCGCACTCAGAGTAGAAGAGTCTACTGCAGAAGTGTTCATATTTGACTGTTCAAGTACACAAATATGCTTATGACAGAACCAATGTCTCGAACTAAACATATTAAAGAGTGACTACTCGGGTAGATTGACTGCTAGAAGCTATTAAACGTTTGGGAAAAAATATTTATCGGTCGGCGACTTGGTGAAGAGGGTTTAGTATCTGTAATGAAGCACAAAGGTTGTGCGATCTCATGTTATCATTACTCCTCATAAAATCGAGTTTGAAGACAGCTGTGAGTGTTTGAGTATTGAAAACTCGTGTTTTCAGAAAGTATCTCCGAAAGTTCATGAAAAAAAAACGATCTGACTGGACGATTTTTTGAAGGGTCATTGTGGAAGCTAATTCAAGTATTAATTAATAAGCACTAACCTTCTAGTTTCTTTCTGAGGACAAGGATTTCCAAAAGTTTAATCTGAAGAAAGTTAGAACAGTTCAGAGCCAAAAACCAGCAAAAGTCAATCCAATCCAAAAATCGGTCCCCAAAACGGTCCAAAGGGGCAATTTTTTGACTCCATCAGTTTTGAAAAGAGATCAAGTATTCGTTAGAAAGCTCTGACCTTCCAGTCTATCCTAGGAGGACAAGAATTGCGGAAGGTTGAATCCAATCGATCTTATAGTCATTCGATGCCGAAAAAAAAACCCAGTTGTGCACAAAAAAACGGTCCAACTGGGCGATTTTTTGGAAAAATGAAAGTTTACGAAAATCTGAGTATTTTTTAGAGAGAAACAATCTACAGTTACGAAATTTTCTTACTACTTCTAACACTTTTATAATTGTAGAAAATTACAACCTTTCAAATGAAGAAGTGCGCATTCCTGTGGATTCTCAATTATCTATCTCATAACTAAAAGAGTTCTGTAGATACAGCGTAATCGCGGTAGTATTCTGAAACAAGCAGTCTCGTAGATTACAAGTCTATTTGGCTTTTGGAAAATATTGAGGCTGTACAGAATTGCACTCGTTTGAAAACTAGTAGTCTGCCTTGGTTTATTCGCGCTGAACCGAGAAGAAGATTGTGCGCGCCAATGCAAACGCGGTCAGGTGTATGTATCGTTCGACGTATGTAGTACGCAAACACGCATAATTACCAGGTGCTCAGTACATAGTAAGTGTTTGGGAAGGGGAGGGGGTCGTATCGAGACTCTCTAGAAGGAGGGGGTCGTAAAATTTTCGGTAATGTCCAACGTGACTGTTGACCCTGCTTAGAACTAAACCTACGCCCAAATATAGGCGTAATCATGCCTATGTGTAAGCATAAGCCCAGCTTAAACCTCAACCCAAGCTAAGCATAGGCTTCAATGATCGTGCAGCTCTGGGGACTAACCACAGGAGGAGAACTGAACGTCTCCCGAATGGCGGAACGGTACTTGCCCTTTTTGATCGTATTTACTGGAAGTTTACTGCCGACGCCCCTCGGGCAGCTGATGCGGAGCGTCCTCCATTCACTAAGCATCGGTGTTGCTACGACGGTTCATGTTACATCTCCTCGAGCCGAAGTTTTTGAAGTTTAGTTGATCCCCACAATTCTCTATGACTTCGCCGTCATGCTTCACGATCTTGCTCGGTGAAATATGCGTGAGATAGTGTCTGGACAACATGTTACCAAAACGTTTCCGTCCTTTCAAAGTTTTGAAGAGGGACTGCGCTGAAGCGAGAAACAAGGTTTCCATCAGTATTGACCCAAGCTAGCAAGCGAAGTTCGATGACAAGGCAGCCATTAGCAATCAAGGCAGAAGTGGTCAGTGGTACAAGGATTAAGAAAAAAAAACCATGAAAAACAGCGCAAAACTTGAAAGATATGATCCCTTCTCTGGCGATTTTGGCATTGGTGCGACTTTCATCGGTGCTGTCCTCTCTGACGCTAACGCTCTCGCTGCTAAACGGCTCGAGGCTCAGACGGCGACAGAATAGGTGTGCCGCGGCGCTAGCGGCGCGGGGACAGCCATGCTAAGCCCGCCATTGGCATATCTTCGCTATAAATTTAGAAGTCCGCCTGTCTTTCCACTAGGTAGGTTTTCGCTTCATCTACCTCCGACATTATCGTGGAACCCTCCCTCGAACTCACCAATTTTATATTTTATATTTCGATTTGGCTGCATCGCAAATTTTTTCCCGACGCGATGTTAAGCTCCCTTCCTGCAAAATGGTAGTTTACTAAATTTATATCAACTTCGCGCTAGATGATAATGAACGACTGTGATAGCTACCAAACCACAACTTTATTTGGACCAGAAGGCACTCCTGCTAGCCTGACCCATTCTAGACATGATCACAGAGGGGCTATGACTGCTAGCTGTTTTATTCCTAGCCTTCTCTTTTTTATTGCACTGCTCCATTGTTTGTTTCTTGCCCTCCTTACATCGCCCTCGTAGAACGCAGCATTCTTGTTCCACCACGCTGCGCCTTCAAGTTGCCTAGTAATCCCATGTCATTCAACCGTGGAAAAATATGCTAGCCATTCAATGAGTGAGAGACTTCCGCGAGTTAGGAGATTAGCCGGCATTCATTGAAGGATAACGAGGTGTCAATTGAGGTCGCGATGAGTTGGACCGCGCCCCCGCTCAATTGGCCACTCCTTTCTTCCTTTCAACTATGCGTACACGTACATTCATAATGCAGGAATGGCTCTGGAAAAGCCCATCATAATGTAGATAGATGATGGAATCTTATTAAACGAGTACAATCCGGTCAAAAAATTTGTTTAAACCTAGGCGGGCCAACGAGGGAACTTGACGGATCGATCCTGACGTTTCTGAACGAGGAAGAAGGACTAGCATGTACAGCCTGCGGAACTGTGAGTTTTACTGAAATTTAAAATACTCTCATCTGAGCAACTCGCCGCTCTTCCACACCGTATTGTCTGAGGGCGATTCATTGAACAACACACTATCTTCCAATGTTTCTAGTGTTTTTTAATGCGAGATTTGGGAGAACTTTAAATCGTCGCTTAAAGAAAAGTTTTTATCTTGACGTTCAAAAACATGAACTGTTGATTCATTGGAACAAAATCACGAAGATAGCGCAATGCTGCAGGGAGAGAAATATCCTTCTATAGCGCTGGACGCGCTGCAAAAAATTGCCTAGCCGTCTAGGATGTTACTAGCCGTCTTTCGCTGCTTAGGCGCTGTAGAAACCAACAGGCACTCCTAGTGGCCATGAAAAAGATACTTGCGAAAAGTCAACGGGATGGTTTTGAAGAGCGACTTGGATCAAAGTGACACTCTTCGGATCGACAGGCTACATAGCTTCCAAAAAGGGTTTGCTCCACAGCGATCTATGAGGACGAACCATCAAACAGCCGAGTAAGGTTGATGTAATATACAAGTTATATTCTGATAACAGCATTTCATCTCATGAAATCTGATTTCATGGTTACATCAGTGTTCATTTGGATAAGGCTGGTGCAATGCCTAACCATCCAGTTTTCATTAACGCAGTTCAAATTTGGCGAAAATGTTGGGTCAGATTGGCACAAAATGGTCAGAGGTGAACGTCATATGTTTTAATACGATGATCACATATACACGTGTTTTGAGTTTCCGGTAATTAATTTCATTCTGACATTTTGGGTTATACAGGACAGGGTCTCGATGTATGCGATATCTGTCTATCGGTATCCCTATCAAATCCAATCGAATAAAGATCTTGTGGGCCAATGTAGCCCCCGTTACCCAGTGGTGGCCAATGTACGCTAATATTCCGATAAGGAAACTTAAATACGCGACGAGTACTAGAGGTTCGATCAACACCGAACAATCTCTCTTTTCTTTCGAGACTGACTGTTTTTTTTTTCGCTCAGGTAGTTTATTCATATCAAGGCTGTTTCTCCAATAAAACCAAGAAATTGATAAAACCCTTGGAAGCTGAAGCATCTTATGAGCCACCTCAGGTGGTTCTCCGCTTTGGAGGTATCGAAGCAAAAGCAGGTCAATGCAGTAGGAGCGGATGGCCACGCAGTATTTGTGCAGTTTCCAGAAAAATTCTTTTCTCATCCACTTTCACTGGTAAAAATTAGACTTATCGTTATTTTATCTATGAGCAGTAGATGGTGACTGTAAATTAGCTACGGTAGTAATACATATTTATGCACTATCCTACTTACTATAAAGCGCTTCGTCCGTCGTCTGTTGTCTGTTGTCTGTCGTCTGTCGTCTGCCTGTATGTCTGTCACGAAATTCCTTCACTCCTTGGGATCTGCGGGAAGGGAGCGGGTCAGGTGTAGGGTGGGCGGGCCTGATCTCGTGCAGTATAAAAACATATCTGCTGGGTGGAGCCGCCCACAGTGAGCGTGGCGTACTTCAAAATGGTCTGTATTGAGGACCAAGGTTCCATATTCTATTACAAAACAGACTCAAAGCTTTGCAAAAAAAGTGGGTTCAGGTGCGTATTGGTAAGCCAGATCGATCTAGGGAGAACCACCTAAGGTGGGCAGGGCGTTCTACACAAAAGCAGTGCTTCATGAAAAAGTTCATAACTCGGTTTGGAGTAAGCCTATAGAACAGAAAAAAATCAGTTTAGGATAGCAATGTCTAAGGTGTTGCCAGCACACCTGCCACTCTCGACACTTTAGAGCGCGCTCCGCTCTGAGTGCACGGCGTTTTCTACATTTCCTCATAATTCGGGCTGAAGAAGCCTTAGTGAGCCAGGAAAAATGTGTATTGGGGTGGGTGGAGGAGTGAAGGCGTGAAGGCCAACTGTCATCGCTGGGCGGGGCAGGACCACAGTGGGCGGAGTTTACGACGAAAGTTCATAGCTCGGTTCCAAGAAGCCCCGGAGACCGGGGAAAAAGTGGATAGAGGTGGGTAGAGGAGTGGAGGTCGACTGTCATCGTTAGGCGGAGCACAACTAAAGCGGGCGGAGCCGCTCGAGAACCAAAAATCGGTCTAGAGACAGTCCTAAGACCGAGAAAAGGTGGATAAAGCCCGACGAAGGGAGGGAATTCCGAATGATTCCCTTAGATTTATGTAGAACACTGTTCCACACTGCTACCCTGCTCTGTGGAGAACCAACCTACAATTTAAGTTGCAAACACGGAGCGGCCAGCTGCTTGAGTATGTATGAGTTGGTAGTGCTTATAGCTAACCTGGGGGTTACGTAAATTTTTCTCAGTACAGATGTTTCCCCGGAACTTTTTATAAGACAGGTATTCTGCGCCTGAACTTCTGAGTACTGGGTAACGTTAGGCTTTTCGACAGAATAATCAGTAAGAATTGTAGATAATTTTCAAAAGAAATTCGCTTCAGAGACGCGACGAGTTTCCCAGCAGGGCTTGTGGTGTTCGAGTCAGAGAAACTGACAAAGAACTTCGAGTTGGCTGTTATCCAAGTAGGATATACACTTTTTACCCCTTGCTAAATAATATCTGGCCGATTCATCTCATAGAATTTCATAAATGTTCATGATATTCCAGTTCCGCAACTGTGTTTGGACGACTACCATTTGCGCCATACGAATGGATTTGGATTCGGTGGTCGTTCCAATGAATTCGGACCACCTGTTGATTCCCACACGCCGGCACTTGTGGGTGACGGCGAACGCGGCAGCGATGTGTCGACCGAGAACGAGTCTATCGAGGAGGAACAACACGACTTTACACGAGAAACGTCGAAAGTGCATGGGTTCGAACATCCCAGTGGAAATAAAACTGAGAATGGCCCTATAACGGCAAGCTGGCTTGGACATGGTAGCACCACAAGTAATCTTTTTAGAAGTATGAAATTTAGCTCTGACAATTTCACGATGCTCTCAGTTCCTATTGAAGACTCGCATCCGAAAGGTTTTGAAAGTGATCTTCAAGATATAACGGCTACAGGAACCGTGGACACAGTGGAGTCTCGAGAACAAGTAAAAATGACGCTTCCAACAAGCGCCAAAACATTCTCTCCACTGTTGTCGAACACTCAGGAAACGTCGAATAGCACTATAATACCAAATGTGAGATTAGTACCGAATGCACCTCAACATTCTCAAGGCGAACGAGAAGTCATATCGGACCTGGACGATCAAATCAAGGAAAGCAAGGAAATTTTGATTGAAAAGCGACGAGATCATCATTTCTTCGGGACTACCACAACCACGTCGACGATCCCCCCAACGACAACACCGAGAAAGTGTATCGATAAACACAAGGTAACGTCCAGAGGTTTCCTAAGTGTTTAGTATTGTTTTTGGGGAGAAGCTAGTTTCAAGAAAAGAGGAAGCATTTGCAGAACCAATTTATTTGAATCAGCAGCACACGAAATCATGTTCGAAAAACATCGGATAGGTCATGAATTGGTGTTTCAACCTTTTTAGGCTCCGAAGAATGCGAAATCGCCGAAAAGTTAGTCGACGGAGTCATTATCAACTTCGTAATCTGTTCATTCAATTAATCTGTTATGTAACTATGGGGGGGGGGTTGGGAAGCATTTGCGATATGAACTCTTCCAGATAAAGCCTGAAGACTAACCTACGAGTGCATCACGCATTCTTCTTCCCTTTACATCCGTAATGGCATTTGAATGCGATTTGGCCTTTCAATGACTTGCGGGGGTCAGCCGATGTACAAGTCAGTGTTTTTTATCCTCCCAGACAAACCTGATACCAATTAACTGACCTCGGAGGGATGGAATGCTTGGTTGGCCGGGGCGAATCACGACCCAGGACTTGATTCCTGGACAGCTCGCGGGGTAAGCGTGCCAGTTGCCACTACACCATTTCCGCCCAGATTAAGGTTTTAATTTTTGCTCCACTCACCTACCAACAACATTTCACTTGAAATTATTGACCGCTATCCATTTTCCTGCTCAACAATCAAAAGATTTCTTGGTTGTCATGAGACCGGTTAACAAAACTGTCAAGCAGCGTTCCGGTGAGGACAGAGTCGCAAATTCCCTCCTCTCTCAGGTGAAGAACCTAAATATATCTTACCTGAGAAAGGAGGGAATTTGGTGATGTCTGTAATCTAGGTTAAATTTTGCAATATTCCTCTGAATGCGCGGCCCTTCTGGGGTCTGTCCGCTCCATTTTGTTGGAAATGATAAGCTTCGTAAAAAACCGTAAATCCTGCTAGTGAAGATCTGTGCTTTAGAGGTGAATTCAAAGGTTCAAAGGTTTAGAGGTTTCTTCTAAAATTCAAAATGTTTAGTTGTGCTGCTTCTGGGCTGTTGCCGGCGAATGTGAGACAAACCCATTCTGGATGCGCATCAAATGTGCGAAAACATGTGGAACATGCGATTGCTCGTGTATGTGACAGAATACTTTGATGAAATTTTGAACAGGTTTGCCTGACCTCAGCGAATACTACCATTACTAATTTTGATCTGTATGTCTGTTGCTTTCAACCGCAAGCCATGCGAGGGCGCGGATTTAATTCCCAGGTGGGCGAAGAATCTTGCCCGAAGAATCCACACCAACGCTATCTCGCTATAACTGAAGCTTTACAAAAACGTACTTGGTTACTGCCATCAGGGACCGTTCTGTTCCGTACACATACAGTGCAACTTCTTTGCCACTTCGACCTCAGTCCCACTTCCCATTTTAACACGTTGACGACAACGCGCGTTTTGGGTTTTTGCGCCGCGTGGGACCATGGATTTTGCAGGCGCCGCCGCCTCACCTCAAATCGAATTTTGAGCTTTAAATACCCAAAACTTGGATGCAAGAAAATGTTTATAATGATATTAGATGTGTCAGACTTGTCAGAAAGGACAACTGTAAAAAATCGATCAACTAGACGTTTTCCGGCACTGAAAAGGCAAGTTTTAGTTGATTCTGCCGTAGAAAACCTCAAAACTGTTTTTGACGCGGTTGTTACACTGAAAACATATGTCTTGCTATATGTGTGGGTCCGTCCTTGCTTCTACTGCTCTTTTTTATGACCAAGATTATCAAAATATAAAGGAAACTAGGAATGAACACATTTGGAAAGTTCGTAGGGCTTAGACAACCTTCGCTAGAAAGGAGCATATTCAACCATTCAATGAACCTCGCCGTGTCTAGTCATATTATGGTGAAGTCAAAGGAATAGATGCACAAAAATTAGAAAAGAAGTAGCGCTTGCGCGAAAAAAAATATTTTGTGTGTGCAGCGCATGCGCTGCTCAAGGTGTGATGCGCATGCGCTGCACAATGTCGTCAACGTGTTAAATATTATTAGCGCGATTCCAATCACGACATGACTTGACATTAGAACCGCGCAGAACCGACTCTGCGCGGGCCAAAATGGAAATAGTAGGCTTCCAGCAGCTTTTGACTCTGATCCCTATAATATGAAAATTTTGCACTCCTCAAGTTGGAGCCTCAAACTTTTCAAGTTCGTATATATTGTGCACCTTATTTCGTCTTAAGAAACTCTTTCACTATACGAATTGTCAAACTTAAAGGTTGTGTGGGATGGAGTTACTCTGGAAGATGCTATAAACACTTTTCTACAAATCTCAAAAGTGCATATCATGACAATTGGGGTCTTCCCATTGCACCAGGGGGCCGCTACGGTACGTGGCGGATTGCTTGTGTCTTGCATGTGCATCCTCTATCGGCTGTCTTATAGTCCATTCGAAGTGAGACACGCTAGAAGCTCAG